TGTGTGACTCCTCCCTTCCTCACTTCGGAAACTGTCAGTTGGTCACTTCCCCCCATTTTAGGGCGCACTGCGCCAGGGGCCTTAATTAGTTCAGCGGTCAGTCAGGGCCAGGCAGGAAGGATGTGTGCATGTTCTGTCTCTGTCCCTTCCTTCCAGGTGCTCTGCTACAAACCATCAGTTAATCTGGGAGGTCAGTGGAGGAATGGAGGTGTGGCCTTAAGATTTATCTCAGTCTCCAGGGCAAAAGGGTTGTGTTAATACCCATGTGACTACTCCCACGCCAACTTCGAAACATGCAGTTCAGGTAAGACCAACTGACAATTTCTCTGTAAAACTTTCAACTTTTTAATTTCATTTTTTTCTACAGAAAACATGTAAATTGACTTTCTGTGTAATATGTTGGGTATAAGGGAATCATTTCTACTTGAATTTGGTGAAATGTCTTCTGTAAATGTCATTATAGTGTCAATGTTTTCACAGCTGCCTATTCTCCAATTTTAGTTTCTCAATTTATATTGCCATAAAACTTTTTCTTTTCCAATATTGTAGCAAATTGAGTCTTGTCTCTATCAGCATGTATCTTAATAAATCGTGATCCTGTACATTTATGTTTTCTGGGATTACATATAATAAAAGTATTTGTGGTTTTAATTCAAATTTTATTTCCAGAATTTCTGAATGTTTATTTCTTTGCAGTACTTTTTACGAAAACATTGCTTATAATGAAGCGTTTTTTTCTTTGCAGTGGCATTTTCAATATCTATTGTTCTGAGTTTTTTTCCCTCCTCCGCAATAATTGACAATTTATGCCATCCGTAGAATATTTTCTAATAAAAGTTTTAACTATCTTCTTCACAATTTTATTTATTTCCATTAATAGCTGTAATTGTTTTGAAATATATCTTTATGTTCTGTAAATTCTTTGAGCCCAATATTTTTTTTCCAAATTTATTTTCAATTTTGTGACTGGAATATAATTCCTATTATTTTTCATGTTCTACTATGATCTTGTATATAATTTATTCTTCTTCTCTATAGCTTTTATCATCCTCCTTTCTCTTTTCTAATTTGATAAATGAAAAGTTTCTTTGCATTTTTAAAATGTTCTTGAAAATTTAAAGGGAATTTTGACATATTTTATCATTTTTGGGAGCTCTGACATCTTCAATATAGCTAGTTGATATTAATTTATTTGTGTGTTGTCAACCTGGATTGGTTTTATGAATCTCATCTATTTCCTTTATTTTCTCATTTAATTATGATTTTCGTTATCTTTTTTTATTTGCTGCAAGCTTTATTAAAATATAGTTAGCCTTATGAGATACAAGCTTTGCATATAAGCTATCTCCCAAATACATCCCCAGAATTGTATATATTTACAAAAAGCTCTTTAATTTTTCCTTTGTATTTCAGCAATATACATTCTTGAAGTAACAGAGTAGAGTATCATTCATACATCATCTGAAAAGCATTTTCTCTCTCTGAATATATTAGAATCAGTGTGAGATCTGTGTACACCATTGAACAAATCCATACTTCTTTAATAGATGTTGTGAGAGCTTTAAAAACTAGCATATATAAATTTTCGAATACATTTGACATCTTATTAGAAAAAAACACCCTGTAAGTTTTTGCTTTTGTATAGTTTTAAAATCTTCAAGCATTGATCAAAACCAGTATACAGGGCGGGGCATAACCTTTTCCTAGGGGGTCACAGCAAGATCGACAGCAGTTTACAACTTCCGCGACACCTCATTTTAAAGCCCATAAAAAGCTGAATTGAATGAGCTATTAAATGTTAAATTTGCTTTAAGAATGGCTGGAAAATTCGATTCGGAAGAACAAAGGATCATTGACAGAATAAAATGCATTGCCTTTCGAGAGGCTCGCGATGCTGGAGCGACGTTTATCAATCGAAAATGGATTGCAAACAAATTGAAACGTCATCCGGATTGGGTTACTGATAATTGGAACAAAACAGCCCAAGAATGTTTCACAAAATTTGGAGAAGGGCGTCCTCTGCAACTGTCCCAAGAAAGCAAAGCCATCATTGCAACTGGCAGTTGCAAACAACGAAAAGGAAACCGAAAAGTGGCCCAAGAAATCCTTCAAATTCGTGGAAAACGAGTTGATCAAAGGACAATCGGCCGATATCGAGAACGAGAAGGTTTGAAGCCATTCCACGTCATTTGCAAACCATTGAAAACTCAAACACACGTTCAAGATCGGCTTTGGTTGTGCGATTGGTTGTCTGAATGGACCGAGGAAGATTTTCTTCATTTGGCGCCATCTGACGAATTCTTCGTTTATGCCATTTGAAAACCGAATTTCCAGAACGATCGAATTTGGGCTAAAGACGTCGACGACATCGCCAAACATGAACGATATCGACAAATCGTTCGCAATCCGACTTGCATCGGGATTTTCGTCATTTTCACAGCCAAGAAACTGCATTGGGTTTTGAAGGATAAAGGGGAATCCTGGGATGGCAGTTATTTCCGTGAGAAAATTTTATTGGAGAATGTCATTCCATTTCTCAGTGATCCAGACAATGTCTTGGTGGTTGGTGAGGCTGTCTTTCTTCATGACAAAGCTCCTTGCATGCGTGCAAATGCGACTCAGCAATTGTTAAAGGAAAACAATGTCGAATTTTGGGGCAATGACGTCTGGCCGGGAAATTCGCCAGATCTCAATCCGGCAGAGAACATTGGGGCCATAATTAAGGATGAAGTGGAAGCTCTGATGATTCAGGAGCAAGGTCAAAATCGATATTCGGTTGAAACTTTGAGAATGAATTTGGAAACTGTGTTGAAAAATCTGGAAAATCGAACGGAACTGTTTGAAGATTTGTTGTGTTCTTATCCACCTCGTTTGAATGCTGTTCGAAGGGCTAATGGTGGTCATACTGACTATTAAATCGTGTCAATAAACTCAGTTTTTGATGGGCTTTCGAATGGTGTATGAATTATTTGTGTTGTTATTACAAGTGTTGCTGTGACCCCCTAGGAAAAGGTTATGCCCCGCCCTGTATACAACATATTGAAAAACTTTTCAAAAGGTGCTGTCTCTTTTTCCCCATAATGAACTTCAACCTAGCATTCTATTCAAATTTCCAACAATGATTATTTCCTCCCCTATAATGCCTATCAATAACTGAAATAATATTTTCTAGAATTCTTCCTTATTTGAGCTTGGCACATAACAACATGCCAGCATTGAGATCTTTTTTTCTTAATTTCAGGATTAAAATTCTTCATTCTTTATCTTCTAATTCTTCTACTGTTCCTAATATTTAAAATAAAATACTATTCAATTTTTATCTTTCCAGTTACTGAATATGTCTACCTAGTTTCCCCTCCCCCCAAGTAAATTGGCATGGTTTTGTTGTATGTGTTTCTTGTAGGCAAACAGTATCAACATTAACTGTTTTGAGTTTATGCAAAATTAGCTTTCATTTAGTCCATTTTTATTTATGAGGTCGATCTTCTGTTGTCTATTTTCTTTTTCTTTCTTTTGGGGTCTCTTTGAGACCAATTTGATTCCTGGAATTTGCTTGGACTAATGTCTGATGTTTTCTTAGTGAGATTTTGGAAGTACTTTGCCATTGCCTTCTTCTTAGGCTTAAGAGAGAGTGATTAGTCTAAGTTCACCTTCTTTATGTCTATGTCAGAATTAGAACTCATGGTCTTGGGATTTCTAGCCTGTTGCCTTAACTACTCTTTCTCCTTGTCCATTTCAAGTTTTAGTTTTTTAGCATCCTTCTCCACATCATCATATTGAGTCCTGGATAGTTAATCTTTAATATAGAAAGGAGGCCATTTTATTCATCTGATCATTTTTTTCATTTCCAAAACAGACTTCCAGAATCTACATCTAATTTATTTAAATCTTAGTACAATTGTAATCCAAAAATGGAAGATAGTTTTCATTATACAAGCCAAAAAATAATAATACAGGTAGTCCTTGACTTACAACAGTTCATTTGGTGACCATTTGAAATTATAATAGAACCGGAAAAAGTGACTAATGACTATTTTTCATGCTAAAAACCATACAGTCTCCCCATGGTCACACGATCAAAATTCAGATGCTTGGCAACTGACTCATATTTATGACAATTGCAGTGTCCTGCAGGCAACACTGCTTTCATGGTGTGGCGACAATAACTGGTCCTTAACACCAATAAGATCAAGGAGCTTATAATGGACTTCAGGAGGAACAGACCAGACATCCAGTCTTGCTTATCAATGGAGCCCGAGTGGAGCAAGTGGCCAGTTTTATGTTTTGGGGTGTTATCATAAAAGAGGACCTGATCTAGGGCACTCACATTGCAGCACTGGTCAAAAGGGTCCAGCAGAGATTATATTACCTGAGACTTCTCAGGAAACAACAACAGAATGAAAAACTGCTGGTGACCTTCTACTGCTGCACCATAGAGAGTATTTTAACTTACTGCACCTGTGTATGGTTAGCCAATTGCACAGTGACAGATAGGACAGCGCTCCAGAGGGTTAATGTCATTGCCCAGAGGGTCATTGGTTCCCCACTCCCCTCCTTGGAAGAGCTTTATAGCTCCTGTTGCCTTAAGAAAGTTCAAAACATTCTTAAAGATCCATCTCATCCTGGGCACCTTTTTTTTTAAACTATTACCATCTGGCAGACGGTACAGGATAATAAAAACAAGGACGAATAGGCTGAAAAACAGCTTCTATCCCAGGGCAGTAACTGTACTGAATTTGATGGTACATGCAATATTAATGCAATATTGGGTTTTCAATTTATGCACTCTTTTTATGAACTCTAACAGACTAAACACATCCAGCCCTTTGTATTAGCACCTAAATGAATTTTCAAATCTTTCACTATTTTAGCCAATCCTCTTCAAATTAGTCACATTCATTGCAAATTCTTCCTTACAATCTAGCTTCTACCTAATCTTATGTTGCCATTCACATAAATTAAGTCATCACATTTATGTTTGGAGACATGCAATCTCATACCTGTGTGGTAAGAATTTCACTCTGAGAGAATTGACCAAATGAATCTTCCAGAGCGGTTGCTTCACTGTCATAGGGCATCATTTCTTCACCTTACAGGAAAAAAAAAATGTTTTACAGAGAGTAAAAGAGAACAAACAATTCCTGGGAAGAGTTGGGGGGTGGGAAGCTCTTTAAAGAATAACATGAGGAAGTTAAGAAATTACAGAACTCTATACATTTTTTTCAGCATCTGAATTTAGATAATATATATATACAAGCAATAAAATATCCTATATGATAGGCAGCTATTTGGGTATTGAAGTTACTTCATGTTAGGCAAGTAATGGAAAAAAAATGAGAAGGAAATTGAGCAGAACCCCAGAGTAGAAATGTTTCTCTAAGCTATTACCTTTGTTTACGAGTGATCTCAACCTATTAGGGTTTGATTTTATTAAAATAATTTCAAGTCTGATTTACAAATACTGATAAAGCAGAGACCCAGATAGCCATTTTGTTCCATATTTAACATGGTTTGATTCACACATTGAGTCACTTGATGTATCTGTAGCTTAGTATGTAAACAGAAATGGACTGCTGTTTTTTTTAAAAAAAATTTCAAATCTATGGGCAGGTCATGATCCTATTGGGCTGTTACTGGGTTGCACTTTGATAGAATGATTTAATAGGAAGGTTGGAATGCTGGAGCACAGTAAGACACTAAGCATATAACTCAGAATTCAAAAGTTATTATAGTGTGTTCTGCTTATACTTTTGCTGAGAAAGAGAATAAATATGGAGATAACTTTATGTCTGGCAAAATTATTGAATAAATGGTTTGCTAGGATAAATCAAAACTGAATTGCTGAGAGTTGGAAAGCATATAAATTTATTAAATAAATAAATAATGATTGCAATTCATTTGCTAGGCTATGGTATTTATTTGTATACTTTTGCATTCTGTTGATATTGAGCTTTAGAGTACATTGAAATGGAAGTTCTTCTGGGATTTAAAGCTTGAGGCAATAATGGTTTTCTCTTTCTTAAAAAAGCTGTATTGCAATGCTTCTTTATTAGTCAACCAACAATACTGCTGCAGCCTTTTACAATAGTTGTAAAACACACAGGCTGGATTTTGGAGGTGGAGGGGGGATGCTAGACTTATCTGTGAACTTGACATAGATACATAGAATGTGAAGGGAGATTACAATCCGAGCTGAATGTTACCTGCCATCCAAATTCCAAACTGACTTGAGATAGTTCTAACTTTTTAAAAAAAAATAGTCATTAACATTTTACTACCAGCTGGTTGACATGGAGCAGAAACATAGATTATTTGTCCACCTACTTAGTAGCCCAGGAGTGACATAAGTGAAGCAAGAACTTTATTCTGAATTCCATTATCCTCCAATAATAATTCTATTATATCTGAAATGTTTCATATTTTATTTCAACATAATACATCCAGAGAAGCTCAGGCTATAGAAACTATGTGTACTGCAAAGAACCATTAGCTGTTACAATGTAACAAGGCTTAAAAGCAGAAGCAGTTTCTGAAAATACTTAAGCAGGGCAATAAAGCTAAGGATTAGGCTAGAAACAACACAAAGATTCATATCAGAATGTCTCTTTCCTGACTTCTTGACAGGATTAACTACGTAACCGGGATGAGTGTGTGTGTGTGTGTGTGTGTGTGTGGACGGGACAAAAGGCTGTTTCTTCCAACAGCTGGTTCACTGAACTGCTCAAAAAATTAGCTATAATGGTTCTCCAAAACCAGTGCAAATTGGCTGAATCCCATCAATGGATACATTGAAAATTTGAACTTATCCTGAATTTCCTGACTTTGCAAAAGATTATCTTACTTGGAACTGCCTATATACTCAGATGTTACCTTAACTGTTCTTAGGTCTTTGGTTAGGACTTGAATTATTAAGATTTTACCAGTCCCAGACGGTAAATCAAATTGAAGATTAACAACAATAACAAATATGATTAAAGCAGTCAGGATTAGTCCCTTCATCTTTCTTCAATTTTCCTGCTCTTAGACAACACATTTTTAGCCAGTTTTTAGTCAATGATTAAAAACTGGCTAAATGAAGAAAGAGAGCAAGGAACTAATTCTGGCTGCAAAAGATCAACCCTTAAGAACAAAGGTATACAAAACTAATATTGAGAAAACAGCAACAGACATTAAGTGCTGCCTATGCAAAGAAATTGAAAACCCTTTTTTTGAACCCTTTTGGTAATTTGGACCATCCAGCCCTTGGTTATCAATGGAGACCAAGTAGAGCAAGTGACCAGTTTTACGTTTCTGGGTGTTATCCAGGGGTGGGTTCCTCCCGGTTAGCCCCTGTTCACGCGTACCGGTTGGTCGGTGAACCGGAAGTAATTAACTTATGGGAACATCGGTACCAGTCCTGGCCCGTCGCTGCAAAGCGCCCTTTTGCCGGTGTGTCGCAGCTCGCTCGTTTGCTCCCCCACCCATCTGCAGCTCGTTCCCCCGCCTGTCCGCACTAAGCCCAGCCTGCCACTGATTGGCTGGAGTCCAGCCAATCAGTGAGTGGGCTGGAGGCGAAGCGAAGCTTTTTTCGCGCTTGACCTCCATTTGAAAATTCCCTTCGGCCTTCGCCTTCCAGGAGCTTGCTGCTTCCCCCTCAGGTAAGCAACTAAGCCCCAGCGGCGGGACTCGGGAGGCTTCGGGCGGGTGGCGGCAGCCCAGCATTCACGAGGGAAGGCCTTCCCT